GAGAGAGATTGTGTACAAAACATGTAGAACCGAAGACTCAGGGAGGAGTTGGGTGATGGGGAAAAAGGATTGAATGAGGGATTTTATTGTTAAAGACATATGATGACATGCGAAGTGGAACATTACCACAGAGAAGTAGGGTCTGAGTGGTTTCTACAAGATGTCGATTTTTGCGTTGGGCTACCCTGTTTTGTTGAGGTGTATGAGGGCAAAATATTTGGTGGTGAATACCATTACTGGACATAAAAGTTTGAAATTGTTGAGATAAATATTCACGAGCATTATCACTTCTTGAGGTACGAATAAACACACCAAACTGAGTTTTTAATTCTTTATAAAATTTTTCAAAAATAGAAAATAATTCTGATTTATATTCCATTAAAATAACCATGTGCAACGTGAAAAATCATCAATAAAGGTGACAATACTTAGACTCAAGAGTAGAGATAGTACATGAGGGACCACAAACATGGGAGTGAACTAAAGCAAAAAGGGACGAAGCTCGTTTATTGACTCAATTGAGAAATTGACTACGAGCGTGTTTCCCTAACTGACACGACTCACAATGTAAATTACTTTTGATAAATTTGACACCAACTTCTGTAATTTGGGAAGACTAGGATGACCTAACTGAGCATGGATTGTGAGGAGAATCTTTGGCTGAACATGTCTGAGATGACACTGAGAGGTAATAAAGGCCTTGAGACTCACATTCGACGCCAATTGTCCGTCCCGAACTCCGATCTTGCAGGGTGACATTATTATTAGTGAAGGTGACAATACAATCAAGAGAACAAGTTAAACGACTGACTGAAAGTAAATTAAATGGACAATAAGGTACATAGAGAATATAAGTAACAAATAGAGAAGGTAGAATTTGAACAGTACCAATTTCTTCGGATTGAGTTTGAGAACCATTGGCAGAAGTTTACTAGGTAAGAAACCAGAGGTAGAGAGGGAAGAGAAAAGATTTTTTATTACCAGTAACATGATCAGACACACCAGAATCAAGGACCCAAGGTCCAAGAGAAGATGATTGAGAAAAGTAAACAGATGAATTACCAGTGTGTGCAACTGAAGCAGTAGAATTTGAGTTCTGATAATTCTGATATGACTTGAGGAAATCATCGTAGTTTGGCGTAAAGTTCTGAGGAAATCATTGTAGTTTGGCGTAAAGTTCTGAGGAGTAGTCATGAGTATCAGATTTGGAAAAGTTGTACAGTGGCGAGTGCGGCGGTGAGAAGATCGTCGGGATCAGCCGGATCGAAGGAGGCGCTTTTGCCTGTAGGGTTAGTTTGCCGGAAGGTCGCCGAAATTAGTAGCGGCGAATGGCAGCAGTAGTCCGGTGGTTACTGGAGAATTTTGAAAAATGAGAGGCAAACCAGAGTGATAACACGGTTTGCAAAGAAAAGAAAAAATTTGTCACCGGAAGACAGTGGGTCAACCGGGTAAAGCACGGCGAAGAATTGCCTCTTAGTAGGCTTTAGATACAATATTGAATTACAAGAGACTAAGAGGAATTATGAATAAACCACGTCTTTTGAAAGCACTACGAAGACTTTATTATATATAGAGAGATTACAACTAATTATATGATATAATCGATGTGAGAATTTTAGAGGAGATAGAGGCTTGGTACGCAGATCAGCATACTGATCAAAAGCAGGGATGTGCTTAAAAATGAGGCTTTTGTTTAACACCTTCTCCCTAATAGAGGTTCTAAACTGAACCTCAATGGTCGTGATGAAGTGTGTGGCTACGAGCATAACATTAGATTTCAGTTTAAGAGGAAAAACCCAAGTGTATTTAGAGAAGGCATCAACACAAGTCAACAAATATTTATAACCACAACTTGAATTCATAGGAGCCGGGCCCATACATCCAAGAACAGCAAATCAAAAGCAAGGTGTAAGGACTGTGTGATTGTGTACTAGGCAATCTATGCACTTTGCCAAGGCAGCAAGGAGCACGCAAATCTAAGGGGGATTAGCAGCAGTAGCACGCAGTAGCATCTGTGCTACTGCTGCTAATCCCCCTTAGATTTTTGAGGAAAACCAAGAGGAGGACCTCTTAAGGCAGGAGCAAGCCACTGATTAGGGATTGTGACAGGCATAGCAGGACCAACACCACTCTGAGTCCATTGGTTCCAGTTTTGGTACTAAGGTCTCTGCATCTGACCTTGAAGTTGCCACATGTTAGGCATCATGGAAGTATGTCTGTGGTAGCACACACTAGCATCATGACCTGTCTTGAAGCAAATCTGGCATTGAACCTTGTAACTACCACCAAACCTACCACTTCTGCCTCTATGTGAGCAACGATCACCGCGATAACCACCACGAGACTCACTATAACTAGATATAGCACCATAAGAAGACAACGTAGAGGGATCTTGACTTACTTGACCAGAGTTAGCAGGTGTAGTAGGTGTGGCCTGAGAGACATTAACAAAAACTGGTTCAACAAGAACACTCTTCTTTGCTTTTTCCAGTTTTGCTTTGTGAGAGAGAAGCATAGATTCTGCTTCAATAATAGGACAGAGGTGAGGACAATATTGAATGATTGAAGTTAGGGCATTATACTCCTCAGGTAAACCATTAAGAATCGCTTCAATCTGATCACAATGCGAAGTCGAATCATCAATCAATTCGAGAACATTAACAATGCGCTGGATTCGTGCAAGATACTCTGTAACAATCTTCTCCCCTTTCATAGTAGATTTCAGCTCCGATCGCAATTGTCGCGACTTCGCATTCGTGTGCACAAACATGTACTTGTGGATTTCATCCCAAATTTGATGTGAGTTAACACAACGAATGACTCCGGAAGAACTGAGTTAGAAAGAGTCGTAAGAAGCCAGGTGAAGAGCAGAAAGTCTTGTTGCTCCCAGGTAATGTACGCTAGATTCTCTACGTCGTTCGCACGATCAGCGTCAGTGAGACATCGTTGAGAAATACTAGGAATCACTAGAAGACGATGCAGCTTGTGCGTTTTGATGATCCCTTTGACCTGATGTTTCCATGAGCGAAAGTTGTTTTCATCAAGCTTCAAAATAATCTACTGCGCGAACGTTTTGAACGCGTTTTCCGTGTTGAACGCCGCCGTCACTAGAGTTGCACCGGACGAGTTGTCGGAATCATCATCGGAAGCCATGGCAAAGGATCGAGTTTAAGCTCTAAATACCATGTTAGAAACTGAACTAGAGTAGAAAGCAAGAGAAAACAGAGAGAGTAAATCTCATTTCATTACAGAAAGAGGAAGTTAGTTACAAATGATTGTTAGGGCAAGCTTATATAGAGCTTACACCAATGTGCTGACTCAGCACAATAATATTACAACTATGCCCTTCCTAACTTAGTAACAGATACTCTAATATCATCTTCCTTTTTCTTCTTTAAATCATTTTTCTTTCCTCTGTTTTTTCATATTTTACTCATTTACTTTTCTCTCATTTTTCTTCTTTCTTTCTCCTGTTTTTTTTATAAATTTTTTCTCTTCTTTCTTTCCCCTGTTTTTTTTATAATTTTTTTTTTCATTTCCTTCCTTCTTTTTTATTCTGTCTGGTCTCTTGTTGTTATTCTTATCACTAATTTTTATTTGGTAAAATACCTATTTTGATCCCTTAACTATATCTTTCGGTTCAGATTGGTCCTTTAATTTATTTTCGTGTCACTTTGGTCCCTTGATTTTTAAAACGTTTCATTTTAGTCTTTTTTTGTCTAATTAGCGACGGATTTAGTGACCAATTTTGAAGTTTTTCCGTCGCTGATTAGACAAAAAGGACTAAAATGAACCATTTTAAAAGTTAAGGGACCAATGTGACACGAAAAAAAATTAAAGGACCAATCTGAATCTAAGGGTATAGTTAAGAGAGCAAAATGAATATTTTGCCTTTTTATTTTTTCCTGTTTTTTTGTCTCATAGCATCATTATCTCTAATTTTTTGCTCATATAATGTTTTGATTAAGACTTTATGATGTTGATTGAGCATTTTGATTAAGACTTGGATTATTGAGTTTTTATTTATTTATTCAGGTTTGTGTTTGGTTATATGAATGTTGGATGGATTGAGTTATAATTACACATGTAATATTATTCATGTAAAATTTGTCCAAAAAATTATTAAAAAGCGCTATCCCGCGATAGAGTTAGGATCATAATTTACTCTTGAGTTGATGTGTCAGCTGTCATAATAGAATTTACAAGGCAATGTGAAGAGGTAACCAATGTCAATCTTCCTAAACCAACTAATAGCATACTAACTACATATTCCTAATACTGACTACTAACTTTGGTTGTTTATTACGGTACTGGGCATGGGCCTAAGCTCAATAAAGGGGCTAATTGCTTTTGTGGCTGTCAGTTGAGATCAGCAACTGTATATATGGGGAGGGAACATAGAAGGGAAATCATTCTGGTCATTTTTCAGTTAGATCAACATAGGTTTGCTGGAGAGAGCATCATCACTTCTCTTCAGTAATTCTACATCTCATTTTCCATCAATAATGCCACATTTCAAAATGTGGAAGAGGAAACAAGGTCATAGATGGCATTTTTATAATTAAAAGTGATTTTATGAAGTAATAAAAAAGAATTATGATAACAACACTTTCTCTAATTGGTTAAAATTCAAATAGGTCTCTAATTGGTTAAAATTTCAATAGGTCCCACTAAATTTAGTGGGACTTATTTGAATTTCAATCAATTAGAGTGTGTTAGAGAGTAGCACTCCTCTAAAAGTAATATTTCTGAAACCAAACATGCTCTTGGATCTAAGGTTAGATGTTTTTTGTTGCAAAAGTAAACCTATTGGTAAACAGTAAATGCTAAGTGCTAACTTTTTATAAAAACGTTACAGTTTTCATACCTTAACCACTGTCCTTAATGTTTTGGTTAATAGTTTGATATTTTCTTTTTAAGATTAAGGTTGAGTATCTGCTTCCTGTCTGTGTTGTATATTTCTCGAAATGTCTTCATCTTTTTTTTACTCTTCATATCAGAAGCTACTGAAAAGCCAGCACGAGTCACTATCCCCATTTCAGTGGATTCCACCCAAGAAGAAGCATTGTCAGTCTTAAAGAAGTTGAAGGTTTGTAATCAACGACATTGTTCTGTAATCAGTACAACTCAAAATCGTTTCATTTTAGTATAATAGAATAATAGTAACAATTATACAAATATTGTTAGTGTTTTCTTTTCTATTTTGGTATAGGAGTGTTATTTGTTATTTTTTTGATATACTGAAAATATGATTTTTAATATATTCATTTTTTTATATGTGAAACTTAGTTCTCCAGCTTATTTAGTTCTATGTACTAGCAGTTGGCAAACATCACTTGAGTCTTTTGGTTATGTTTTTGGTTTTGCTGCATATCTATTTATGGCATGTTTGTTTCCGCGGCGGAAATATAATAAACGCGCGCGTCTGGGTCCAAAAGCTACACTTTGTAGCTTCTTTTTTCACGGTAGATGGCATTGAAAAAGCTATACCAAACATGCATTTATCTGATTTATGTATTCCGGAAGTATAGATAAAAGAAGCAAGAGAAGTGTTCATTTGGATAGTGTGCACTATTTTTGCAATTTATTCTCTCAGCTTGGCTGTATTCCACTATGGTGCACTCAAACTGTGTGCTATTTTGTGTACTTAGTTGGAATTGTAGGCTTGAAATTATGGTTTCTGCTGATTTATCTAGATAATTGAAGATGATGTGGACGCTAATGAATTGTGTACCAGAAGAGAATTTGCTCGATGGCTTGTTAAATTAAATTCGTCTCTGGAAAGGTTAGTTCCTGTGCATCGTGCACGTAACTTCATTTTCAGGAATTGATTTAGAGCTCAAACATGTAGATTTGCGTGTTTCTGTTGAATAATGAGAGAACAAGAGGAAAGTTGGATTGAATTACACAACGAAGTTCATTATATATAATAGGAGGCATAAGTGCCATAGTAATTACATAATATTCTATTTTTTATTTACATGATAACCTAATTACTTACAAAATATTCTATTTACATAATACAAAATATTCCGATATTTAATACTCAGGGCCGACCCAACCCATTTGGATGCCTAAAGAAAATTTTAAGATGAGGCCTTTAAAATGTATTTTAAAATAATAATTTTATGGTTTCTAAGAGGTGAACTCAAAACCAAAAGAAAAAGAGGCCTAAATTTTAGCAACTCAACTATGATAGTTTATGTGTATAATGTTCATTATATATTATTATAAGTAAATAAAAAACTTTTGAGGCCTTTTTTAAGCCCAAACTTTTGAGGCCTTTTTTAAGTCCAAACTTTTGAGGCCTAAAGCTCTAGCCTTGGTGGCTTGGCCTTTGGGCCGACCCTGCTAACACTCCCCTTCAAGCTGGAGCATATATGTCTTATGCACCAAGCTTGTTACAAATATAATTAATTCGAGGACCTCTCAAAGACTTAATGAAAACATTAGCTAACTGATCATTTGAATTGACAAAATTAGTGCTGACATCTCCAGATAAAATCTTCACTCTGATGAAACGACAATCAATCTCAATGTGTTTGGTTCTCTCTTGGAACACTGAATTTGATGCAATATGTATAGTTGCCTGATTGTCCCAAATAAGTGTCATATGTGAAACATTCCCGAATCTCAGGTCGTGAAGCAACAGTTTGAGCCAATATAAGCTCACATGTTGTTGTTGACATGACTCGATATTCTGCTTCCGCACTTGACCTTGCCACTACACTTTGTTTCTTACTCTTCCAGGAAATTAAGTTACCACCCAAGAAAACACAATAACCTGAAGTGGATCTCTTATCAGAAGGAGAACCTGCCCAATCTGCATCTGAGTATCCTACAACTCGAGTGTGTCCCTTGTTTTCATAGAGTAAGCCTTTTTCTGGAGCTCCTTTAATATATTTTAAGATGCGAATCACAACTTCCCAATGCCCTTCACAAGGAGAATTAAGAAATTGACTTACCACATTAACAAGAAATGAAATATCTGGACGAGTAACAGTGAGGTAATTCAGTTTTTCAACTAATCTTCTATATTTTTCAGGATCAGAGAGTGGCTCCCCCTGAGCTGGCATAAGTTTAGCATTGGGATCCATCGGAGTGTCAACTGACTTGGCATTAATCAGTCCTGTCTCCTCCAAAATATCCATAGCATACTTCCTTTGTGAAATCACAATCTCCTGTTTGGATTGGGCAATCTCTATGCCCAAGAAATAACGAAGTTTGCCGAGGTCTTTTGTTTGGAAATGATGACAAAGGTGTTGTTTTACCTGTGTGATTCCATGATGATCATTACTTGTAATGACAATGTCGTCCACATACACAATTAAGTAAATACACCCAACAACCGAGTGACGATAAAACACTGAGTGTTTAGCTTCACTTTGCGTCATACCAAACTGTTGAATAACAATGCTAAATCTCCCAAACCAAGCCCTAGGATATTGCTTAAGACCATACAAAGACTTTCGAAGACGACAAACTAGTCAAGAAGACTCCCCCTAAGCAACAAACCAAGAGGTTGCTCCATATAAACTTCCTCACACAGATCACCATGGAGGAATGCGTTCTTTATGTCAAGCTGGTAAAGGGGCCAGTGGCGAATAGCTGCCATAGAGAGAAATAATCGAACCGAGACCATTTTAACCATGGGAGAGAAGGTGTCACCATAATCTAGGTCAAACATATGTGTATAACCTTTGACCACTAAACGTGCCTTGAGATGGTCAACTTGTCCATCAGGCCCTACTTTGACTGTGAAAATCCACCTGCAAGCTACAACAGATTTCCCAAGAGGAAGAGGAACAAGGTCCCACGTGCCACTGTTTTGAAGAACACACATCTCATCAAGCATAGCTTGTTTTCAGCCAGGGTGAGATAAAGCATCACCTACAGTCTTGGGAATAGACACAGAAGACAGAGGAAATACAAGCATAATGCAAACAAGACAAGCGATGATAAGACAGATTAGCATAATAAGGAGATGGATTACAAGTGGAACGTATTAATAGAAAACTCCAACCTTGTCAGTAATAAAGTAGGATGCAGTCTTGGTTGAACTATGCCACTCTTACCCATTGTGGTCATGATACGAATATTTTGAGGATGGATAAAAGCAGGGTTAGACTTAGGGGTGTTAGTGGAAGGGGAACTAGGTGAGACTTGGGGCACAGAAGAAGTAGTGGGCTGTAATGAAGGACTGTTGTGGTCTATGTCAGAGGTGGCAACAGGGCTAGGAGGAGAAGAAGATGGTTGTGAAGTAGGGCTAGGAGGAGAAGAAGATGGTTGTGAAGTAGCATTTGCTGAAGTAGAAGAGATGGGTATGGCAGTGAGAGGAACATGTTGTGAGAGTGTTTGATGCATGAGACCAGTGGAAAAGATAGATGAATGGGTGTTTGGAGAGGAAGAAGATAAAGGATCTGTATGAGAAGAAAACATAGAGGGATAAGGAAATTTTGCCTCATTGAAAACCACATCTTTGGAGATATAAATTCTGCCATTGGAAGCCAAACACTTGTAGCCCTTGTGATCAGAGGAATAACCCAGGAAAATACACTTTTAAGAGTGAAAATTGAATTTGTGAGCAAAATAAGGCATGAGGTGTGGAAAATAGGCACATCCAAAGGCCTTAAGGGATTTATAGTCAAGAACAATATGGTAAAGCATGAGATAAGGGGATCTCATGCCTAGCAAGGGGGTGGACACGCAAGCCTATGAGTAATGCCTTTGGAGTGAAAAAAAGAGGTAAGTTTTGAACTCCCTTCCACCATCAGTTTGAACAGCCTTTAAGATGTGTTGAGAATTGAACCTCAATAGCTGTGATAAAGTGTGTGAGTGAGCAGCACATCAAATAGGAATCCATAGGAGCAGGGCCCCATACATCAGCAAACAACAAATCAAAAGGATTAGTGTACCTTGTGTGTGAAAGTGTGCTAGGTAATATGTGTATCTTTCCAAGCAGCAGAGGGTACAAAAGTCCAGTGGAGATTTATGAGGAACATGAGTGTTGCACAACTGTAAGATGGACTTTAATGCCTCATGATGGAGGTGACCAAGTCTGTTATGCCACATAGTCTAAGCTGAAGGGCCAAGAGCTGGGGGATCCACAGAGCCTTTGACACATTATTGATAGAAGCATAAGAATGTGCAACAAGATTGGAAATTGGTTGTAGAGACCCAAAGATATACGAACCATCCTTATTGAGAGACCCTTGTAGCACAATTTTGGAATCACCCTGTGTTTTAACAAAGCACTTATCAGGATGGAACTCAAAGAAAACATAGTTGTCCTTAGCAAATTAACTCGTAGACATTAAGTTCTTTGTGATGTGAGGTACAAGAAGGAGATTCGTGAGTGTGAGAGGAGTGTGTGCTATGCATGGTGAAGAGAAATAAGCAGTGCCAATAGAAGTTATAGGCAAACCTTGGCCATTACCAAGCAGAACTTGGTAAGTACCAAGCAATGCCACATTTTCAGACAAATACTCAGCGTTGTTAGTCACATGATGCGTAGCACCTGAGTCAGGGTACATGGGTTGAGCCTGCTGAGTGAAGTCAGTTAGTGTCAGAAATCCTGTGCCAGTGAAGTGACCTTGTAGTTGATACACAAGTCTTTGAGCAAAGCCAGAAAGAGGACCCCTGAGAGCAGGATAAATCCATTGATTCTGCACAGGAGCTTGAGCATTGGGAGTAGGAATCCACTGATTATAACAACTTGGTGCCATGGACTGAGCTATTGCAGGATTAATCCATTGATTCCATGCAGGTCTTTGATGTTGTGGAGTGGCACTCCACACAGTAAGCATTAAAGCAAAGTGCTTGTGATAACAAATACTAGCATCATGACATGGTTTTGAACAGATTTGGCAGTGAACTCTGTTTCTACCACCATTTATGCCACCTCTGTCACGATTGTGCCTGCCACCACGAAATCCCACACGACCTTCACCATATGAGGAATTCTCAGAATACTGCATCACATGAGTGGAATCAGGTGTGGTTTGAGGAGCAGTTTGAGCAGTAATAGCTGGTGTAGCTTGAGCAACATTCACAAAGAGAGGCTCAGATAGAGTAACCTTCTTTGCTTTCTCCAGTTTGGCTTTATGAGCAAGGAGCATTGACTCAACTTCAATAATAGGGCACACATAATTGCACGCTACTGAATGATGGAGGCTAGGGCATTATATTCCTCTGGCAAACCATCAAAAATTGCTTCAAGTTGATCACGATGTGAAATTGGATCATCAATTGACTTAAAAATATCAACAATTCGTTGAATACGAGCAAGATATGCAGTAATTGATTTTTCCCCTTTGGTGATGGATTTCAATTCCGAGCGTAATTGTCTCAATTTCGCATTGGTGTGCGCAAAGATATATTGATGAATTTCATTCCAGATTCGGTGAGAGTGAACACACCTGATAACGCGAGGAAGAACAACATCAAATAGCGTGGTGAGAAGCCACGTGAACAACAATGAATCTTGCTGCTCCCAAGCCAGAAACGTCAGATTCTCCTTATTGTCTGCGCGATTTTCATCGGAGAGGTAATGCGGTGGAATAATCAGATTCACGAGGAGGCGATGAAGGCGATGAGTGCGAATGATTCCTTCGATTTGTTGTTTTCAGGATCAAAAGTTGTTTTCGTCAAGCTTCAATGTCACTTGCTGCGTGAACGTTTTGAATACCTTTTTCAGGTTGAACACTGAGGATACACCGTCGCGCGCCACCGTGCTTTGTACGGTGTTGTTTGAACTATCGCTATCGAAAGCCATGAAAATGGATCAAGAAGCTCTAGATACCATAATAGAAAACGATAAGCAGTAGAAGAA